GTCTGGATTTATGAAATACAGCTACGAGGATGTGCCATAATATAAATTTTCCAAAATAAAGTCCTAAGATGTATCATTGATGCACCCTGGCTCTATCTAAACGATTATCTTCATACAGACAAATAAGAAAAGGAGGTTACTGCAAAACATGAGGGTCGACTCCACTCCCACGTTAATGAAGTGCTGCAATTACTGGACAACTCTGCACAAAAGACTCGAAAGAAAAGCCATTTGAGCTAGTGCTAGTGTAAAACAGTGTAATAAATCGATACGCCAATTATTGGTGATGCTTTTCTACCAACGACTACTAGATTAATTTTGTTTACAAAAATGGAATTGTAAAAATCACAGATTTATCCACCGAGTTGTCAAATTATTATAAGAGTATGGCGAAAGTCTTAATACAAGGATTGTTTATGGTATTATTGACATATGATAAGGTTCTAAAACACATAAAAGGCTTTCAAAATGACAGTTCGGAAGTATTTGCATTTTTAATGCCAGTTATTATTAGTTTAATCTATTTTTCTAGATCCAACTATCACAGTTGAAGGTGTTTTTCAGGAAAGTATACAATTAATTAATACATCAATAATTTGTAATAGAATCCTTCTGTTAAAGAGTTAATGTTATCTAAAAAAAACTGATGAATTAAGTACAACGAGCATTCGGTCTGGTTCCTCAAGTAAAAACTCTTTTTTAATATAGCGATCAGTACAATTTACTTCAAAATAAATTATCGTGAAGCCTTATTTTTTCTAATTATATCACTAACCTTCAATTCAGAGAAGAAATAGTGGATGTTGCTAAATAAGTTTGTTACATATATTTAAATACTTTTCTCAGTGTATTATCCGAATTTATAAGAATCTTGGTAATTTTTACCAGTGTAACAACCGGCAAGAACGTCAACTGTCAGCGAGTGTCACTTTAAATTTTGGCTACCCCGACATCAAACGTGCCGACGCAAGCCTTCATTTCTGTAATAGTGGTTATTCTGTGGTGGGACTATGATATATGCTAAAATTCAAGACGAAGCGTTTGAGATCAGTAAAATAGACTGTAGCAGATTCGTAGAAGAATGTAACTTTGAGTGTTGTGCTGTTAAAGTGAGTGTCGATAGCAGTAAAATATTAATTGTGAATATTTATAGGACTCCGGATAGTAATCTGGAAATTTTCCTCGACAAGTGTTTTGAGTTTATGACGTATTATAACTTATAACTCACGTTATGATACAATTTACCTATGCGGTGACTTTAATATAGATTATTTAACTTTATCAGATGAAAAAAAGATGTTGGATGATTTTTTCACTTCACTTGGTATTAAACTAAGCCTACCCAATGAGCCAACACGTATTTTTAAAACAAAAAGCGGTACATCTAGTACCAAAATTGATTATATAGCATCCAATGCTTTGCCTCATATTATTAGAGAGTGTTATGTTACACAACCCAATATTGGTGACCATTTGGCCATAATTTTTAAAATATCTCTAAATATCTTTCCGATTAACAATAATATTGATGATAGTTTACATATGTATCGAAATATCTCAAATTTTAACTTACAGGCACTGAAACAGGATCTTTTGAGAGTTGGTTTCAGTGATATGTACACCAAATTAGATGTAAATGAGTCATTTAGTGAATTTATTGAAACGCTTGATTTTGTCATCAATTGTAATTGTCCTTGGACTATAAGAAAACACAAAAAGAATACCAAAAGCTGGTATGATAAAAATGTACGGCTAAAACATTCCGAACTCCAAAAGCTCTATAGGTTTGCAAAAAAATCAAATAATATTGAAAATTGAAACTATTACAAACAACAAAAAAAGGAATATGATCATTATTTAACTCAAAAGAAAAAGGAATACAATGCTTCACTCATTGAAAAAAGTACTAACAAACAAAAAACAATATGGAATGTCGTGAATAATACGTTAGGTCGAACTCGTAATCCGATTAACCAGATTCAATTATGTGTAGGTTCACAAAAATTAACGGAGCCAAAAACAGTGACCCAATTTTTCGGGGATTATTTTAATAATAAAAATATTGAGACTCAAAATAGAGTTAGTAATAGTTTAAATAGCGATTGTACCCTTCCTAAAAAATGGGTTAAAAATTCTTTTGGCTTTTTCGAGGTAACTGCTGATGAGGTAAGTAAAATAATCTTAAACTTAAAAAATAAAAATAGCGTTGGTGATGACGGAATCAAGGTAAAAATTCTAAAAATTGTTGTAGAAGTAATTGCGGAACCGCTTGCTTTCTTAGTTAATTTATCATTTAATAGTGGCTCCTTTCCGGACAAACTGAAAATTGGAAAACTGGTACCAATCTTCAAACGATCCTGTCCAAAGTGTCCAGACAACTACCGACCTGTTACAGTTCTAAATGTGCTATCTAAGATTCTAGAACGCATCTATTATGACCGGCTTATAATATTTCTTGATTTAAACAATGTATTGTCTCCGAATCAGTATGGTTTTCGCGCGGGAAGATCAACGGAGGGAGCTGTTCTTGAATTTTTTACTAAAGTGTACGATAAACTAGACAACGGAATGTATGTTGCCGGCCTCTTCTTTGATCTCTCTCGGGCGTTTGATAGCCTACAAATTCAATTTATCTTAAAGAAGTTATACTCTTATGGTGTTAGAGGTAACATGTTGAATTTGTTAGAATCATATTTGTCAGATAGAAAATTTTATGTACAATTAAATAAGGAAAAATCTGAAATATATACCACTGATATTGGGGTTCCTCAGGGATCGGTGCTGGGACCACTAATATTTATTATTTTTGTAAATGATTTACCTCAGTATTTAAATGGCGGATCAGTTTTAATGTTTGCCGATGACTCGTCAGTGGTGGTCTCGGCTCGGACCGCTGAAGAACTTCAACATACACTTAATTGTATACTAAATCTATTTGAAACATGGTGTCAAAATAATTCCTTAATTCTTAATATTGATAAATCCGTTTATGTAAATTTTAGATGCGTCAAAAATAGCTTACCTATAGCAGTCCCATCAATTACACATGAAGTAAAAACGAAATTTTTGGGAGTTTATGTTGACCAATTTTTATCATGGGATTCACATGTTGATCAAGTATGTAAAAAGCTTAACTCTGCTTTTTATGCCATATTGCAATTAAAGAAGACTATGGACCAAAAATCATTATTAAATATTTACTTTTCCTTAGTTTACCCTCACCTATCAAATAATGTTAGTTTATGGGGAGACTGTGTAACGTCTAACAAAGTTTTTGTTGAACAAAAGCGCATTATACGCATATTATTTGGAATTCAGTCAGGGGAAAGCTGTAATCAAATGTTCATAAAACATAAAATTCTTCCGTTACCATGCATTTATATTTATAAAACACTTCTGTATGTAAAGTCTAACTTACACAAATTCAAAAAAAATTCCGATTTTCACAGATATCCCACCAGAAATGCAAACACGTTTATTTCGGTCCAACATAGACTAGCTTTGTTTGAAAAGTCACCGCAATATATAGGCATAAAACTCTTTAATAAATTACCTAAAAATATTCAAGCATTATCTTACACTAAATTCAAATCTAATGTAAAAACTATTATTACTCGTGGTTCCTTTTATTCTGTTAACGATTTTTTGTCTGAAGATAGTCTTCTTTAAAAAAATATTTTGATTTGTGCTTAACTATTAGTTTTAACGTATGTGTTCAGTGTAATGTAATTTTAATTTTATTTATTAATGTTGACGTGTACATCCATCTATGATGGCAGCATTGGCTAGTACTAATAAAGATATTATTATTATTATTATTAATAGAAGATCTTCGGCAACGAATTATTACGGAATGCAGCAATATTCCAAGAGATGTGTTCCACAATGTTAGAACAGAATTTGAAAATCGATTATACTATTGTTTAGCACAAAATGGAATGCATTTTGAACATCTAATCAAATAAAATATCATTACATTTTTTTATTCGAATTTTTTTGTTTTTGTTATGGAAAAAAATTATTGTACAGGTGAATACTACTAAATGAGACCTTTCATTTGAGGTATCACAAAAGGGATAGTGCCATTTGACATTTTAAAGTTTGATGTGTGTCGCGTCTAAGGGGTGACTCACCCGCTCACTTAAAAATAGTGGTTCTAGTTCCCCCTAACTCTATAACATTTCTGCCAAACGGCGTTTCGCACTGAAAGTTTTCAAATTGACACCCTGTATAGAGAGTAGATGAAAGGAAGACAATCTTATATGGTTGTTTGACATACTTCGATTTAATCAAAGTATGTGGGTTGTTTATATTAAAAAGTGTCCATCAAAATGTATAAAATTAAGATAGCGCTCGTGTAAAAGGTAAAATCCAATGATATATAGTCATATAGATTGCTCATCCATATACGACGAAGAGCGAGGCGCCATTAAAAGGCAGATTATTTTTCAGCACAAAGAAAAAAATTAGTTTTGATTATAGTTTTTTTATTAGTTTTTATCTATAATATTATATTTTTTGTTTATGTTTGTTTATCTACTTGTATTTTGAAAAACCCAGAACTAGGTTAGGTTAAAAATGCTGCAACCCAGATGGATCAATTGTAACTAATAATAAATACTAATCATAGTAATTTAAAAATAAATAATCAAAATTTAACCTTTGTCTATAGTCTGTTTGATAAAAACGTTTTAAAGAGTAACAAATTTAGAAAATAAAAAATAAAACAAAGGGAATGAGGCAAATAAAAAATTATCCAGCACAAAAGTCAAAAAATACTGCGTCTTTGCACATATTTCTATCCTTGACCTAACTTGGAAGAATTAACAATGGGTTGTGCTCTATGGTAATATAGAAAATAAAAAGAAAAAATAAAGTATGTTATCTCTAATATTTAGGTTTGTAAAAAGCAAATTTAAGAATAAAAAATTACCTATAATTTAATTTCGTACCTAATAATAGTTACCTGATTGAATTTGTATTTAACAATTGAAACTTACCTTGTATTTTTTGGGAGTAAAATTGCATGGTGGAAGATCAGGTTTTGTAGAATAACTTCTAAAACATCTAATAAAATGTTTCATTTTGTATTTAATTCACTCTTTTGACACTAGTACCTACCAACGTACTTATTATGTTTTAACAGAATATAGAATTTGATGCAAATAATGGAAATTACCAAACAATACTCGACAAATTTAAATACGAATAAATTGACAATTTTTTTACCATTTTTTTTTATGTGGACGATTAAAAATTGAATTAACAGATACAAAAATGTTTAATAATAGCCTGCCTACACACCTTTACGAATAAACATAATAAAGCAGGTTTTATGGAAGGGGGGATGATGAGCATTAAGTATCCCCAGACTAATGCACAAACTAAATAAAATAATTTGTTATTTATTTTATGGAATAAGAAAACATTAAATTTTACCTTCAGTTAAAAAAAGCTTGTTTAAAAATATGAATCATGAACTAGCTCTTACATTGAATGATACCCGAATTTATATTAAAATATATGCTGTTTATTATTTATAAATTATCTTATAAAAATGCAACATTGCAGAATCACAATTTTGGGACAATCAAAACCCAGATAGCACACGATGTCCATTGGACGTCTACATTTTGTCCAAATAATATCCTGGACGTCCATGAACTTCATATGGATGTCCATTGGACATCCATTTTCCGTTATCCAATGGATATACTCATTCAGAAGTCCAATGGATGTTCAAAAAATGTCCATGATGGACACTATAAAAATGACAAACTTATAATAGTATATTATACAACGATCATATAATGATGGTTATTAATACACGAGCATTAACCGAGATACGAAACAAACTGAAGGCGAGTTTCATATGGTTTATGCGAGTGTATTATTAACCACTATATGAGAGTTGCATACGCTATTTTTTCTACACCCGATAAATAATCAAGAACTATAAATATTATATTTATATTTGTATTGAACAGAATAACAGTAATTACTCGTATTTCTATAAAAAATTCTACAAAATTGTAATTAATGGTATTATCTCGGGTATTGGTATTACCATAGATTTTTGGGGCAAAATATTTTGTACCGCATTTTCTGCTTTCTCCGATATGTATAGGGGAGTCGATGGTAAGTCTTCTATATCGCTGATATCAGACATTTTGTGTCTTCAAAAAATGTTCTCCAGTTATTGGAGTATATTCCAAAACATACTGGTTGTATTCAAGCAAATCCAATTATTTTGTTGTTCGATAATCACGAAACACACACATTACTCGGGGCCATAGACTACTCTCGTGAGAATGGTATAGTCCTACTATCATTTCCACCCCATTGTACCCACAAGATGCAACCCCTTGACAGGAGCATTTACGGGCCATTTAAGAACATATGTAAGGCTGCCTTTAAAGACTTTATCATTTCAAATCCTGGAAAACCAGTTGGAATTTATGACATCGTTAAACTCACTGCAGATCCTTATTTGCAAAGTTTTACACCTAAAAACATTATAAGCAGCTACTCAATCCAGTACTGGCTTGTGGCCTATTATTTCCTTGATTTTTAATGATGACGATTTCATGGGGTTGTTCGCCACGGATCAGGCAGATCCTGAAATAAGAATGAAAGAGTGTGAACTGCCATCAAGTTTTATTACATCGAAAAACTCTTTTACTCCATCCATCAGCATAAGCACTAGCAATGTGTAGCCGATTCTGAAATTGACGAAGTGACCATAATGATAAGAAATATGTTGAATGACATATTAAATAGCGTTACAAAACAGAAAATTAAAATATTATCCGTCGACAACATTAGACCGTTACCAAAGGCAGCCCCCAGAAAAAAAAATGGAAATTCTCGACTAGGTAAATCCAGAATTTATACAAGCACACTGGAGAAGGAAAGAATTCAAGAATTGGAAACAATGAGAAAACAAAAGTTGGAGAAAAAAACACGAAAAAAAGTATTACAAAGCGAATGTGAAGTGAAGAAAAAAAAAACAAAAGTTGAAGAGAAATGCAAAGGGAAGGCGCCAAAGAAAAAGTTGAAAAAAAATAGAAAGTGACTCCTCAGATTCTGATGTGGATTTACCACATAATGTTGTTCATGACAAATTTTCTTGGCGATCTGTCCGATTCTCTGGGCGAGTTTCAAGACAATGACGATGTGCTCATGCTATTGGATGATGAAGTAATCCATCGTAATGATTATTTGCTTGTCAAATACCCGACCAACAAAAGGACATTACATCGGCAGAGTGGAATCTTATTTTTTTTAAGAAAGCATAAAAGCGGTTTCCGCTTTCCGGACTTGCAAGATATTTCGACTGTTTACGGAAAAGATATAGTTTAGCAAATACCTAATCCCGAGGCAGCACCAGGAACTTCCAGGATGTGTTCGCTCTTCAAATTTAAAGTCAATTTTGATGGTTATAACGTTCAATAAACTTTTTCTAATAAACAGTCTTTTATTCCTCTTAAAAATAAATAAGTTCTGAATGTTGTTAGACTTGTCCGAATGTACCCCACTACTTGTCCGAATCTGCCCCACTATGGGGCAGATTCGAACAAATGCATCTTTTTCGGAAAAATGTAAATGAACGGAAACCACTGCATTTTTTGCTTGAGATAATGCCAAAATATTGGAATTACGCTAAGGCACCGTTACTGAAAGTGTGGTCCGCGGAGCCCTGGGGCTCCTCAAAGCCTTTGTGGGGGCTCTGCGAAGAAAATAACAAAGAAGGCAGTACCTATCGCTACAACGGGACTTGGCTTGAGAATATTTTATTTGTTTTGTTTTTTTTTTTTTTAGAAGGAGTATACGAAGTTTTTTTTAGAAGTCAGGAAGAGGAAGGAGTGTATGATTTTGGTATTTTGGGTTGGAGGATATTTTTTTAGAAGTCAGGAAGAGGAAGGCGTTTATCATTTTGAGAATTTTGTTGTAGGGGCTCCGAAACAGGACGGACCTGGCAAGAGGCTAGAGCAAGGACTTTTTTTTCGAAATGTGTTTAGGGCTCCGTCAAATATTTCACTTTTCAAAAAGGTTCCGTCACCACTGCACTAAGGTATCCGTAGCACTTGAATTAGGTCTAAAATTTTCTCTTAAATTTGAAATATTAATGTTGAAAAAACGTGTCCGAACCTGCCCCCCACCTTACCCCTAAGTGCTTTTCATTTGATCCTTTATTTATTATGGTGAAAAATAAACAAAAAATTAAATTTGGATCTTATTTTGTATTATAATTGCAATATGTAGGACAAAATAAGGTTACACCAACTTTTTAGACAAAATGTAAGTTTACTATTAAGGTTTACCTAGTTGCCATTAGTGAGATATTTATGATGTAATGTCATTTTGTAAGAAGTAACTCTAAAATGTTTATACCTGTTATAAATAATAATCTATAGATAAAGCCAAATGATATCATGACATAACAACTCTTAACGTTTTTATATCTATTTGTAATTACCTAATAACATTATCTTTTTATAAAATTATGTTAGTTATAACTGGAGTTTATAGCAACTACTGTAAAACGCAAGGGCGGTTCCAAGACGGATTTTCGGGGGTGGCCATTGCCTTTAGCCATTCCCTTTTTAGCATATTTTTTTGAATAAAATGCCAATAAATCGGAAGAATTTTCTTTTCGTGGGGGGCATGGCCGTATACTATTAGGTTGTATATATCCACCAAAAGTCGCATAATAATATATAATAACAGTATAGTGTATTAGAATATGTAAGTTATTGAGTTTTATGAAACGTTGTTGCAACCTCGGTATAACCCTTATATAACTTTTTGTGTTACTTGGGCTGAATTTATATTAAAATAAATGCTGATATTATTTATAAATATCGTACGAAAATGCAACATTACAGGATCGTAATTTTGGGACAATCAAGTAAGAACGTCTATGGGTTTTAGTTCTGTCCCAGAATGTATAGAATTGTTGTAACCAAGTATGGCATATAACATTTGTTCTCTAATGTTTAGTTTTATCTGCTTTTCTCGAATAGTCCTTAGTGGGCTATCTGGATTAGTATAGTGGATAGAGATTTTATGCATGTTCAAAAATTCTTGCATTAGTCCATTTTTCAACTCGATACGGCTATCTGCAAGCATCAGATGTGGAATAAGTTCATGATGTGTGATGAAAATAAGGAGAGCGTTCAAGACGTTGATTGCGTTGGCTTCTTCTATGGGATATGCCTGTCCATATTTAGAGAAGGCATACATCCCAGCTAGCACATAACATTGCCAAGCCTTTCGGCGATGTTGCTTTAAGGGAACATAATAACATTACTATACAACGTAAATGCAACGTTCATGAGAAGTTGTTGAGGAAAATCAAAAGCTCGCAAAACTTCTATTTGTTACTTACCTATTTAACCTACCTGTTATGTTAACACAACGTAATGAAGTAATTTGCTAAAAAAAGTATCCACGAAAAGTACTATGAACATCTAATCTGAATTCGGAACGTTTATGTTTATGTCAATTGTCACTTGTCACTTTTTCTTGTCGTATGTCATGTTTTTGATGGTTGTTTTTTAACTAGGAGAATTTATTTTATAAATAATTTTTATACATTTGAGTAGAATTATAGTCTATTTTTATGTATGAGAGAGTACTAAAACAGCATTTCTAATGCAAAACTTAGTACGGTCATTTTAAATATTTTTACAGAATAATCTAAATATTTCCTAAAATTGTAATAAATGTACCTGAGCTATTACAAGTTTTGGGTCTTTTTATTGGTCCTTTATAAACATAAGCTGTACAGAACAATAGAAAAAGGTTTGGACAGGCCAAAAGCCCTGTGTATTAAAGACTACATAGCCGTATCTTAAGATTATTTTCAATAAGTACCTATTTGCCAATTTTGTTTTATTGTAATTCCAAGAATTTCTTACAGTAATCGAATTATAAGTAGATAAATACCTTCCCAACAAATTTCACCGAAAATGCGATTATAGGTGTTCCATTTAGTAAAGAGGTCCAAGTTGTGTATTCTTGACAGTTTACTAAATGTCGTTTAGTTGCAACTTGAAAGGTGCAGTGTGAATTCTAGTGTGATCATGGAAAATTTGGAAGGGCCGCGTAAACGACAAAAAATCGGTCCTTTAACAGTTATTGAAAAAACATTAATATTTAATTGTTTTAAATCATTTACAGACAAACATTTATGTAAAAGTGTTGATGACACAGTGGAATTAGTTAGTAGTACGCTTGGTGTTGGGAAATATACGATTTACAGAGTTGTTAAAGA